AAAAACAAACACTTGCTCTTAATATTTGGCTTTAAAGATTTTAAATATATATGTTTTACTACAACACGACAGTACATACACCTCTCACGGTGTCCAATGATAAATACGCAGCAACTGTATACCTGAAATCTTATAGTCAATGTAGCTTAGACATTTTTTTGGAATCCAAACACCAAAAGCCTTAACTAACCACATTATGACACCAGGAACCTGAGCCGCACACAAACTTGCATTTTTGCAATAGGGTTAAGCAGAACCTGCTCACCTTTTTTATACTTTCGCACAGACATGGCCTCATGTGAATAGTGAAGTGTAAGGGCCTTCTTTATGGAGAGGTCATTGGGAGGCAGATCTAAAGTACAGAAGAAATTTGGGGTGAGGAAGGAGCTCAGAAAATCTCAAATATTAAAATGGTCACCAATATTCTTACCTCTCATTCTCCTCGGTAGCCCATTAGCGCCGCTTTCAGTTGAGCCACCAACAGGCAAACAAGAGCCTATGGACACAGTAGTTTCTGTTCATCAAATGTTTTTGCTGTTTGATTGCACATAAGACAAACTTGTCACCGCTAAATGGCATTTCAGGAATTAAGAAATTAACATACTTTGCTTTACTCAATGACCAATTTATTGAATACAAGCTTCAAACAGAACAAATATAAATACCTTTGGTAAGCCAGACAGTCAGCACACAAATAAACAAGGCCCAAAAAACTCCCATCGCTTCAGTCACCAACAGAAAATGCTACCTGTGCCACATGGCAGGTTAAATAACCCCATTGTGCAGTTATCACAGCTGTTGCTGATCAGCTCTAATTGGCTCTCTCTTCAGAGAGTCAGTGCTAGTTGAGATGCAGCCCTTTCCTGTGAAAAATATTATACAAATCATAAAACTTTGAGAATGTTGTATTTATGAATTTGATGACTGTTTTTCGTTGTACGTTAAGGAGCAATCATCATTTTAAATACAATCTCGCTTTATGTCCACACTGACAATGCTCCATAAATGGGGAAAATGGAAGATTTCAAAGATACCCCTCCTTTTCAGACAACTAGTTGCAATGAAGGTTGTATTTGGGAGATAACTATAAAAGATGAACAGCTTCAAACCCAACACACTCAAGATTTTTTTACAAAAGTAAAAGTCTGGCCAAAACAATTTATTCTGATTTACAGTACTTCAAATTTTGCATTTTTACTCTACATGTATTCATCTGCTATAGTTACGAGTTACTTTTATGTCACAATAAAAAAGACTGTCTATCGCCATCAGCCACTGTCATTAGAATCAAATGTATCCTCTCTGGACATTGGATACATGTAGCTAATTCCATAGCAATCCACCTGATAGATGTTGAGAGGCACAATGCCGCTAGCATTAAACTATATGCGGTGTCAACTTATAAAATATGATGTATTATAGATATAACCCTGAACACCCACAGAGGAGTTTGCAGTTATTGTGTCCGATTAGAGCTACAAATGTTGAAGGAGCACAAAGCTATTCTGGGATTTATGCGAGGTCACCAATCTCCATGTACAAGCTTTGGGGCTCTCTTTCTGTATGTGCTGAAGATAAGATTTAAACTGCAGGCCTTTAAGGTCAGTAAGCACAGTGACACCTGTGCTCCCAGTTGACCACACAAGAAAAATCTGTATATATATAATATTTTTACTTGTTTAATATTCGTCACCATTTATACTTGTTTTTACTAGGTCTCTTGTTTGCACCATTTACTATGCTGCTGTAATCCTGTACATTTTTCCACTGAGGGACTACAGTACAGAATGAAATCCCAGGATGCACTTTGTCAGACCCCATTTGTCTTCCCCTCCCCAGAGACTTAAGGAAACCAAAATATCATTAAAAAAAGTTTTATTCAAAACAGATAGAAAAGTACGGACAAGCAGAAAGACGCTACTGTTTAGCTATCGGCCAGCAGGGAGCCGTTGCCCTTGGACACCAGGCCGCCGTCGGC